TAACATAAGATTTTGTGGTATTCACTTGTGTAAATATTTTAAATTGAAGATCGAATTCATTCATTGTATTCATATAGAGTCAAGGAGTGTAGTTATAAAAAATCATCAAAATTGGAGTTAAAATAACCGTTAAATCGTGATTTTTCGTTTATAACCGTTGAAAAGCTTTATCCCGTTACTTGATCTATGAATGTTTTTTTTTTTGTGATTTTTTGCTGATGTAATCTCCAAGCATATACAAACAATTTTGACGGTTTGGATCGTTGAAATTAGTTTTGGAGAATTCGTAAAACGATAGATTGACTAACACTTAGAGTTTATTTATACTTTTATTAAGTATAACATAAGATTTTGTGGTATTCACTTGTGTAAATATTTTAAATTGAAGATCGAATTCATTCATTGTATTCATATAGAGTCAAGGAGTGTAGTTATAAAAAATCATCAAAATCGGAGTTAAAATAACCGTTAAATCGTGATTTTTCGTTTATAACCGTTGAAAAGCTTTATCCCGTTACTTGATCTATGAATGTTTTTTTTTTGTGATTTTTTGCTGATGTGATCTCCAAGCATATACAAACAATTTTGACGGTTTGGATCGTTGAAATTAGTTTTGGAGAATTCGTAAAACGATAGATTGACTAACACTTGGAGTTTATTTATACTTTCATTAAGTATAACATAAGATTTTGTGGTATCCACTTGTGTAAATATTTTAAAATGAAGATCGAATTCATTCATTGTATTCATATAGGGTCAAGGAGTGTAGTTATAAAAAATCATCAAAATCGGAGTTAAACTAACCGTTAAATCGTGATTTTTCGTTTATAACCGTTGAAAAGCTTTGTCCCGTTACTTGATCTCTGAATGTTTTTTTTTTGTGATTTTTTGCTGATGTGATCTCCAAGCATATACAAACAATTTTGACGGTTTGGATCGTTGAAATTAGTTTTGGAGAATTCGTAAAACGATAGATTGACTAACACTTAGAGTTTATTTATACTTTTATTAAGTATAACATAAGAATTTGTGGTATTCACTTGTGTAAATATTTTAAATTGAAGATCGAATTCATTCATTGTATTCATATAGAGTCAAGGAGTGTAGTTATAAAAAATCATCAAAATCGGAGTTAAAATAACCGTTAAATCGTGATTTTTCGTTTATAACCGTTGAAAAGCTTTATCCCGTTACTTGATCTATGAATGTTTTTTTTTTTGTGATTTTTTGCTGATGTGATCTCCAAGCATATACAAACAATTTTGACGGTTTGGATCGTTGAAATTAGTTTTGGAGAATTCGTAAAACGATAGATTGACTAACACTTAGAGTTTATTTATACTTTTATTAAGTATAACATAAGATTTTGTGGTATTCACTTGTGTAAATATTTTAAATTGAAGATCGAATTCATTCATTGTATTCATATAGAGTCAAGGAGTGTAGTTATAAAAAATCATCAAAATCGGAGTTAAAATAACCGTTAAATCGTGATTTTTCGTTTATAACCGTTGAAAAGCTTTGTCCCGTTACTTGATCTCTGAATGTTTTTTTTTTGTGATTTTTTGTTGATGTGATCTCCAAGCATATACAAACAATTTTGATGGTTTGGATCGTTGAAATTAGTTTTGGAGAATTCGTAAAACGATAGATTGACTAAAACTTAGAGTTTATTTATACTTTTATTAAGTATAACATAAGATTTTGTGGTATTCACTTGTGTAAATATTTTAAATTGAAGATCGAATTCATTCATTGTATTCATATAGAGTCAAGGAGTGTAGTTATAAAAAATCATCAAAATCGGAGTTAAAATAACCGTTAAATCGTGATTTTTCGTTTATAACCGTTGAAAAGCTTTATCCCGTTACTTGATCTATGAATGTTTTTTTTTTGTGATTTTTTGCTGATGTGATCTCCAAGAATATACAAACAATTTTGACGGTTTGGATCGTTGAAATTAGTTTTGGAGAATTCGTAAAACGATAGATTGACTAACACTTAGAGTTTATTTATACTTTTATTAAGTATAACATAAGATTTTGTGGTATTCACTTGTGTAAATATTTTAAATTGAAGATCGAATTCATTCATTGTATTCATATAGAGTCAAGGAGTGTAGTTATAAAAAATCATCAAAATCGGAGTTAAAATAACCGTTAAATCGTGATTTTTCGTTTATAACCGTTGAAAAGCTTTATCCCGTTACTTGATCTATGAATGTTTTTTTTTTGTGATTTTTTGCTGATGTGATCTCCAAGCATATACAAACAATTTTGACGGTTTGGATCGTTGAAATTAGTTTTGGAGAATTCGTAAAACGATAGATTGACTAACACTTAGAGTTTATTTATACTTTCATTAAGTATAACATAAGATTTTGTGGTATCCACTTGTGTAAATATTTTAAAATGAAGATCGAATTCATTCATTGTATTCATATAGGGTCAAGGAGTGTAGTTATAAAAAATCATCAAAATCGGAGTTAAAATAACCGTTAAATCGTGATTTTTCGTTTATAACCGTTGAAAAGCTTTGTCCCGTTACTTGATCTCTGAATTTTTTTTTTTTGTGATTTTTTGCTGATGTGATCTCCAAGCATATACAAACAATTTTGACGGTTTGGATCGTTGAAATTAGTTTTGGAGAATTCGTAAAACGATAGATTGACTAACACTTAGAGTTTATTTATACTTTTATTAAGTATAATATAAGATTTTGTGGTATTCACTTGTGTAAATATTTTAAATTGAAGATCGAATTCATTCATTGTATTCATATAGGGTCAATGAGTGTAGTTATAAAAAATCATCAAAATCGGAGTTAAAATAACCGTTAAATCGTGATTTTTCGTTTATAACCGTTGAAAAGCTTTGTCCCGTTACTTGATCTATGAATGTTTTTTTTTTTTGTGATTTTTTGCTGATGTGATCTCCAATCATATACAAACAATTTTGACGGTTTGGATCGTTGAAATTAGTTTTGGAGAATTCGTAAAACGATAGATTGACTAACACTTAGAGTTTATTTATACTTTCATTAAGTATAACATAAGATTTTGTGGTATCCACTTGTGTAAATATTTTAAATTGAAGATCGAATTCATTCATTGTATTCATATAGGGTCAAGGAGCGTAGTTATAAAAAATCATCAAAATCGGAGTTAAAATAACCGTTAAATCGTGATTTTTCGTTTATAACCGTTGAAAAGCTTTGTCCCGTTACTTGATCTCCGAATGTTTTTTTTTTGTGATTTTTTGCTGATGTGATCTCCAAGCATATACAAACAATTTTGACGGTTTGGATCGTTGAAATTAGTTTTGGAGAATTCGTAAAACGATAGATTGACTAACACTTAGAGTTTATTTATACTTTTATTGAGTATAACATAAGATTTTGTGGTATTCACTTGTGTAAATATTTTAAATTGAAGATCGAATTCATTCATTGTATTCATATAGAGTCAAGGAGTGTAGTTATAAAAAATCATCAAAATCGGAGTTAAAATAACCGTTAAATCGTGATTTTTCGTTTATAACCGTTGCAAAGTTTTGTCCCGTTACTTGATCTCTGAATGTTTATTTTTTATGATTTTTTGTTGATGTGATCTCAAAGCATATACAAACAAGTTTGACGGTTGGGATCGTTGAAATTAGTTTTGGAGAATTCGTATGCCATCAATCAAGTTCTGTGTGTGTGTGTATATAAATATATATATATATATATATATATATATATTTATTAAGTAGATTTAGATCTATTTATTTTGTACGTATAAATTATAATTGACTGGTACACGGAATAGTACATACATCACGTGTCACGTGTGTCATTATAAAAATAGTGAGATATGTCATGACAGTCATGTGTGTGATAAAAAGTTAATAACTTAAAAAGAAAAAAAAAATTTCGCACCACTTCTATTAATTTTCATTTTTCCCTCTCTTTTTTGTTTTCTTTTCAACTTTTTCTTATCATTTTCACTTTTCCCTCCAACATCTTTCCCTAATTCCCTCTCTTTTTTGTTTTATTTTCAACTTTTCTTAACATTTTCATTTTCCCTCCATTTTTTTTTCAAAAAGGGCCGCAAGTTGGCAATGGCAAGAAATTGATTATTGAAATTTGAATGGAAACAAATCACGTCAAATTTCAATGGATGCAAAATCATGCAATGCATCATGCATATTAAATTATTAATTAATAATTATTATAGTTTTTATAAAATTTAATATATATATATATAATTATTATAGATAGACTTAATATTTTGGGGGTATAATTATTATAGTATATATAATTATTATAATTATTAAAAATTTTATAGTTAATTTAATATATATATATATATATATATTATAATTTTTAGGGGTATAAAATTGTAAAATTAATGTATATAATTATTACAGTATTTTTTTAGGGTTATAAAATTATAAAAATAATATTCTGCTTATCGTGTATCGTGTTACCCACGTGTATACCCGAACCAACCTGTTATCTTAACAGGTGCTTATCGGGTTACCCGATAACGACCCGATTCGTTATCGTGTCGACCCAAACACCTGTTAATTTCGTGTCGTGTCGTGTCAGAAATTGCCAGGTCTACTTTTCACCCCTCCAGGTTTTAGTAGCTGAGCTTTTTTTATTAACGAGGATTCTTGGCAAATCTCAATATAGGTGGCTACCTTTGAGGGTATAATCCTTATTCTATCTTAATGTACTTTACTTATACTTTGACATTACGTGTGAAATGAGTTCATTTCCACTCACAGTGCACTCTTGTATTTAGGCACTTTTAGGTTTAATTTTATTCACATTTCGTCATCTTCCAGGTATCGGCCAGCACAGCTTGATTCGGAGTCATAGTGGACATTCCAAGTTAGGATGTGTCAGATGATAGGAGTAGGAAAACGGACCCTGGACCCGCAGGTCGGGGCAGGTCCTCGCGATTAAGGGCAGGTTTGAGGCGGGTCTAAGTATTTTGAAGAAGAAACGGCGTGGGGACAGGACGGAAGAATTGATGAGACGGGGCGGATCTAAATATTAGGGGGAACGGGCCCCAGCCCAAACCGTTTCTAACGTGGGATATGATGAATTTAATGATTATTCCCAATTTCTAAACTCCACCGTCCACCATTTGATTGGATTTGGACTTTTTCATCACCCAGTCTCATCTTCTTCCTCTACTCCTCACAGCAGCCATTGCCAATTCTTCGTCTCTGTCTCCCTCTCTCTGGCTACTTGTGAAATGCGACCATCACCACCTTCTCCTCCCAATCGCGACTACCCCATCACCGCCGTCTAGAACACCACCATGATCCTGTGAATCGAAATCGACCACCTTCATCTCATCTCCTCCCAAATTAAGGTACTATAATTTCTTAAATCTTAACTCTCTGGAGTCTTTCCATTCTGCAATCTCTTATTCTCTCTGATTAATTTTTTAGATTTAGGGATTTAGGGTTTTCTAGGTATATGCCTTTTCTAACTCTGCAATTTTTGACTCTCTGCATTCTGTAATCATATGGAATTTCAAGAAAACCCCAAACCCAATCCATAAATTTACCTTAAATGAATTGGAAGGGGTTCATAAATTTGCCTTCATAGGATTACCAAATGAAAGCTGCACATGCTGATGCTGTGATTAACATTAACCAAAATTGTTATGCTCAAACAGGAGATTGATGGTGCACTAGATTTGGGGATTTTGTTGGGTTCTTGAATCTTGACCTCTGTTCTGTTCCAACTTCAAATCTTTTGTTGAATTGAATTTGAATCTTCTGTTGAATTAAATTGAGTTTGAATCTTCTGTTGAATTAAATTGAATTTTAATATATATATGTCCTGTGATAGTTTTAGACTTGTATATATTTGAATCTTCTGTTTCAGATTTGGGTATTTTTAATTAGATTAGGTTTGGTTGATTGGTGGAACGTTTCTGTAAATCCAAGTAATGTATTAGATAATTGTTGGTTGATGAGAAAATTTAGTGGAGAATTTTGTAATTCCAGTCAATTAAATTATACAGCTGCATTTAGTTTCGTTGTGGACCAACAATCTCTAATAATATGCAAGTCCGCTTGATTCAAGTTCTAAAATTTAATCGATTCGAAATCCCCAATTTGACGTTGAGATGCAATATATGTTTGCAGTCTGTAGACCATCTCTTATGCAAGCCCATCAAGTTGACACCAAATATGATCCGGAGGAGGTATTCAAAATCCCCTTTTAAGTTTTAACTATGACCATTTCATGCAAATTGGATTTGAATGTAAACTCATCTTCATAAGCTTTTATTTGTAACTATTGGTAGGGAAAGATGTATTCACCCCCTCTAGGAACTAGGAGAAGGCTGCGAACGCCTTGTACTGATAGCAGAGCCTTTCTTATTGTCTTCCAATGAGCTATTCTCTATACACAATCCAAATAACCTGTTCTAAAAATAAATAAATAAATAAATAAAGTAATTTGGACCAGTGGACTCGGCCTGATTCGGCCCATTTAAAAAGGGTCAGGTTAGGTCCGGTTCCAAATCTTAAAATTCATATACCTAGCCCGGCCCGGCCCGGCTCATTGCATTTTAAAATGGGTCAAGTTCGGTTCCTACAAATTTGGGCCCGTGCCCATCCTTAGCAGATGGTGGTATTGTTAACAATGGTTGTGAAAGATGGTTGTGGGAATTGTTGTTGGAAAGGTAGTGAGGATGATAGTGGCTGGGATGGTCATGGCCATGCATGATGAGGGTGATGGTAGCGGTGGTAAGAGATATGGTGAGGCAATGATAGTAGCGGTCGAAGTGAGGTGGTAGTTCTTCTTGATTTGTTGCGGGAGTGCCAACTTGCGGCCCAAGGCCAAGCACGTAAAGAGAAGTTCATAATTTTCATTGTGCTTGATTTGACTTCTTTCAATGTGATTGAGAACCGAGGCAGGAACACATCTCAGTCGAGGGTTCTCTATGCCTTCGGTGCAAGGACTTTAGAATGGGCTTTGTTTGTTAAGGTGAAGTGGAATGAATTTAGTCGTTGATGTAGCAGTAGGGCTGGTGATTGATACGGTGAGATGGGATGGGATGTGTGGAGAAGACGAATCGCATCAACCCAAATGCACTAGTCAAGTGGATCAAATTGATAAGTATTTACATTATAATCCTCCTACTACATGGAAATAAATGCGAGAAAGTAAATTCGCGATGAAATAAATTGAAAGAAAGTAAATTGCGATAGAATCAATTGCAAGAAAAATATTTGTTCTAAGTGTGAGAAAATTTAAACCACGAAAGGTGCAGAGAAAGAAAAAGTTAAATGTGTAGGTTGGGAACCTTTTCCTTTTTTTTTTTTTTTTTTTTTTTTTTTTGGGTTTTTAATGAAACTGAAAATTCATTAACCAGGGCCAGAAGCCAAAGAGAAACACAGGAAGCCAAAGAACAACATTACAATGAAAGAGCAAGCGGGGTATAAAGATTACAAGATGCTGCCGAAAGGTTATCGCGTCTGTCCTACACTTGCACTGCTCCAACGGACTACGGGAGGCAATGAGTCTGTCCTTGTTCAAGATTCCCACGAGCGAGGATGGGGTCAATCGACCCAAATTGAATCACGCATCCCCGAACAGAAATGCAACGCCACAAAGTATGTCGTTGCATTTGTTGATCTTAGGACCCAAGACCAGGTGCAGGCCTGAAGGGATTTCCCTAACGCCAAAGCCCAACTAAGGATAGGTAAAACCTCCTAGGTGCTGCACTCCAAGCCTTAATGGACACCTTCCACCGAAAGCAAATTTCACCAAATGCTTCATAATGGACACCTTCCATTCAACGTGCCATCATATCATTAATTTTGAAAATTTGGTCTAACAAACTCCTAAACCAGCTCAGCTTACAGTAAACGATGTGACGTCATTTGGTCAAAAGCTTGTGTGCCCAAAAATTCGTCCATACCCCAAATACTAGAAGTGAAAAGACTAAGGCCTGGTTTGGTACTGAGGTGATTCTGAAAAAAGCTGGTATCAAAAAAAGCTAGGAGCTGTTTTTGTGTTTGGTAAACATTCAGCTTCAGTTTTTTTTCACAATTTTGGGTGAAAAAGGCCAAAAACAAGAAGCTGCAAAACTCAATTTTGAAAAACAGGTTTTTTTTTCACATTTGTTTTACATAAAAATTTACTAAACATTATAATACTGCTTTTTTTTTTTTTCAAAAGCACTTTTACAAAAAAGTTTACCAAACACTCTGCTACTTTATTTTACAGCTGCTTATTCTCATAGCAAAGCAGAAGCAGTTTTTTTTTTTAAAGCACAACAATACCAAACCAGCCCTAAGCCAAGAATTATAGTGAATGGTCACCAGTCTTCAAACCTCACCGCCGAATATTTATTCTACAAAAAACATTCTAATATGTTTGGTAGTGACAAAATCCCACCAGATGCTTTAATGCTCCATACAAAGAATCATGGTGGATTCCCCTTTTTTTTGCAAGTCAGCATGACGTTGCCCCCTATTTTCTTGGCATCGGCTCAAGCAGCCAGATGGATAAGAAAAAAAAAAAAACCATAAGTTTAACAAACGAAAATAAAAGTGACTAATACATAATGAGGAGGAGGCCAATGATACTTTATTTTGAGGCAAGATATTTTTGTATCACCGACGTCGATTTGGTTTTGTTTTAGGTTTTGAGATGAATGCACCCGGAAAACGTTTGTAATATTCAGCTGTAGAACAGGCCGAGTTATTATGCCCCCAAGCATAATTGCTTTGCCAATTTTGGCTTTTAACTTGAACTATTCACATGAACAAGATTGCTCCATATTAGCGGAATTACCAATAATCTCAATTGAGATGGTTTCTTCATCTAAGGCCGTGTTTCGGCCTTGTTTATCATTGGAGAATTCCTCTGACAAATCATCAGAAAGGTTTCCTTCTAAGCCAACCAAATTTTCAATCTTGGCAGAAATAAATAGGTGGCCTAGCGTTTTCTTCTAGGCCAACCAAATTTTCAATTTCAGACAAAAGAACAAGTGGTCTAACTTCTTCTTCAGCCAAATTGACAATTTTCTTAGGCATGTCTAGAGCAGAAAATTTCCCTCGCCCTTTTTATCCAACCGCACTTCAAATGGAATCGATTTGAACCCGAGAACAAAAGGAAATGTTTTCTCATTGAGCCACACATTAAATCGGGCTCTATCTTCTTTCAACCATTGTTCTTGCAAGGCACTATGAGCTTTCACCTTTATCATTTGGGAGAAAGACTTTTGCCTCTTTGTGTGTGCATCAAGGATCTTTTTCGCCTTATATTAAATTTGGAGGTCGTTCAATTGGCCAAAGAATGCCATATTGTAATATTGGAATATCATATGAACTTTGTAGTTTTACCACTACGTCCCACCGAGTGTCCCAAAATGTTGAGCCCTAAAAACTACCAAGCCTACATGGTGCACAAGCTGAGAAATTAAGAGCTAGCTACGTCTTTCTTATAATTGATGCTAGTGTGCCAACTTGCCGCCGGGGTGAATTGGGCAAGTGAGATGAATGTGGTGGTGGCGTAGGATTGCGTTGTTGACTTCTGAACCGAGCGACTATGGCCAAGGAAGGTACACTCTTTGCCTAGGGTTCTTAGAACTTAAAGACAAGGATGCTAATCTCGCTGCGAAGTTCAATAATTGATTTGACTTTCATTGTGCTGAAAAAGGGGTAACTTAGGAACACCTCACTTCGCCGAAGCTGATGAGATGATCTCTTGTGACGAAATAATAAAGAATTCCTCGTCCGTCGAGACTTAGATAACCAACAAGGATAGAAGAGTGTTGTTTAATCAAACTAAAGGTCTACTGCCAAGCAAGTTCTGCAGCTTCAATGCTATTTAACTAAATTGAAGGTGAAGAGACTTAGATAACCAACAAGGATAGAAGAGTGTTGTTTAATCAAACTGAAGGTCTATTGCCAGGCAGGTTCTACGGCTCCAGTGCTGTTTAACTAAATTGAAGGTGTCGTCAGTTGTTAACACAATGATGTTTAACCAAACTAAATATATGTCAACCGGGAGGGGGGATGGGGGTGTGGGGGTTTAGTAAGTAGTTAATGTTTTTTTTTTTTTTTTTTTTTAGAGTGTGAGAGAATTTCGCGTAAAGCATTTATTTGTGTGTTGAGTTAAGAAGTCCCTTCATGTTGCAGAGTATCTTGTTTTTATAGTAGTCGCATTTTGTTTAGCGCGGCCTCATAATTTGTAGAATTCAATTGCATTTTCAACTTTGTGGATCATCATCTTGCTACTTTGACTCAGAACCTGTTTGAGTGACCGATCATTTTAGCCGGCTGAGATTTTCCAAAGATATGAATAAAGCCTGAGATTTTCCAAAGATATGGTAAAGGCTTTCTTCCAGTTTTCCTTGATAAGCTTTGTCTAAAGCCTATATTTTCCAACGCGAATGCTCCTTGACCAAATTAATGAACACACCCTCCCATCTTTATCTCCTTTTTCTCCTGACTGATAAACAAACAATTTGCAGATGCCAATTTTTTGGTAATTGTTTTTATCATAAAGCAAGTAGCCAGCAACATCTTTATTTTCAAAACTCTGGATATAATCCTATAGAAATAATGGATAATAATATACCATAATTCTCAGTTAATTATTCCATTGTAACATTATCACTATATTACATCTCATCCAATGCCATTGATTTTTCCTTTCATCCAAGGACTAAGAATATGGACCAAATGCGAGCAAATGCGGGTCCAAACAGGAGTTTAGCTCCTATAAGGGTAAAAAAAAAAAACTAACACATCAACGTTGATTAGTGCCTAAAATATCGGTATCGTGAGAATATCTAAATGCAAATTTGTGGAAATATCTATAGATGTATTGACATCGATATCAATATCTGTTGCCTTGATGGTTGTTAAAAAATGTGAAAATTTAAATGAAACATTACAGAATGTTATATGATAGTTTGTCTCTACTTAACTAATATGTCGGAAATATCAACAAAATCTGGTCGATTTTAGCCTAAATTTAAGAGTTTCTTCGATATGAGGTGAAGTTTAGACTTCATCCCCTCTTTCCATATAGTTCTTTGATGTTTTCAATTTCATGAAAAATATCGACCCTTGATTGGCATTAGGGTTTTCCGTAGTTTGAAAGAAGCAATTTACTCCACTTACGAAGGTGCCAGACTGGGGTCAATCTGAAAACAAATCTTGCTTGAACACTGTTAATTTCTGTTTGCAGCTACAAAACCATATGCACAACTTCTTCTACTAACTTTTCTGGCTTCTAAGTTAACCCTTGCTTAATATGGTTCAGAATATATAATATAAATCTCAGAATCTAAAATCCATCTTGAACCATAAAATTAAAAATCTAGAAAACATTCCAATAAGTTGATTAACTTTTTGGTTAATTTCCTCTTTTAATTCTGTTATGAAATATCAGATTAAATTCACAATTGTTGAAACTTAAGGAAAGCACGATCAGTCATCACAACACTATTATTGGCACGACAACAAACTTTGCTTACAAAGTATAGCAAAACAACATTTCCAATTGAAAGGTC